CTAAGAGCATCACCGACTATTTTCCATCGTTTTTGATCTATAATTCCCTCTGTAGCAAACCAAGGACAAACTTCTTTAATATAATCAAAATACTGACACAAATGCTTAATTTTCACCTTTACTCCTCGTGCCTTGATAGCCTTTCCTAGTCCTTCAACGAACATCTTATCTTGGCTCAATGCTTGACCCATAATCGCCGTTCACTTACCCGAGGGGTGCAGACGTAGCAGGTTCCCACGTCGTTCCCTCTTTTCTTTTCTTTTCTTTTCCTTTGCTTTCCTTTCTGCCGGCCACTCGAACGGCGTCCTTCACTGGATCCCCCGTGCTCGAGCCCCACGTTGGGCGCCACTTGACCCGACCCGCAGGTCGAGCAACGAGGACTCTAGAGGGGGAGTGAGGATGAGGAGGGACAAGAGACACAAGAAATGGAGACAAGACAGAGCTCTGATCAAGTCTCGTTTATTCAGGGGGAGTTCACACAATATATAGGGCAAGAAGCACCTTTCTCCAAGCACCAAACTTGCCCGAAGCAATTCCAGGAAATACTACAAAAGGAACAAAAGTTCAGCAAAGACTGGCTTGTTGAGTAAATGGTTACTTAAAGAAATGCAAAATGCAGAGATAAAGAAATGCAGAATGCAGAGATATCCTGCCTATGGGCAGGCGATGGCAGAGCAGATTTTAACAAAATTGACGCCATGCAAAAAAGTCCCACACTTGTTAACATATAACATTGTACATGTGCATGCTATCAAAATTGGGTATTGAAAGGGACATATAGAGCTAGTGACTAATAGAAAGTTTACCTGGCAAACTTACTACTAATATGACACTTTCACCCCCCAAAATATCCAGATATTCATAAAAAGAAGGTTTTACTGCTAACATGACTATATGAATCCAGGCCTGTATGTTTGAGGAATACTGGTACTTGGTGTTGTCTCTCTCCCTGACCTCTTGATTATATTGCTTCACTCCCTCTATCTTTTGATATTTCTTCCCAATGGATCCTAAGACTGTGTGGTGAAGGCTCTCAGCTACTGTGGTTTCTGTGATTTAAACTAGGACTATCACATCTTCAACAATTCTTCCTGTTTCTGACAAGTGTTCACCTGAGCCAGGTGCTCCAGAGGTGAGCCTAGTGTGAGTTATGTGTTCTCTCCCATTGCAGTTGGGCCTTGGTGGCTGTTGGCACGTCAGTGGGGGCTGGCCCTCGGGCTGACTAGCTATGACTGGCTGGGCCTTCAGGGGACAAGCTGTGGTGCCAAGGCTGACACCACTGAGCAGGATCTGCTCTGGCAGGGCTCAGGTGCCTGCAAAGTCCGCCCTCTGGGTGTGTGGTCTGTGGGTGCCTGCAAAGTCCGCCCTCTGGGTGTGTCGTCTGTGGCGCTGATTAGGGGGGCTCTGGTGTGGTCTGAAGCAGGCCCCTCATAACATGCCCTTTGATTGACTTGCAGGTAGTATGAAACCTTTCTGTTCCCTTCCCGGGCTCAGTACTTTTGCTTCCTCCACTATGCTTGAACAGAAAACAAACAGTTAAACATAGAAACCTGCCTGACTGATGGAAGCAAAGATGAAAACTGCCATACCATGGTTTTGCCTATCTGGTTCAGTGGATTTCAGTCATAACCAAAACTTCATCCCCCAATCCTAGTGTTCTGTCCTAGCCCTTCCCCAGCTCCTGCATAGATACAAAGGAAGAAACACAAGCGTCCATAATTAAAGCTTGAGAGTTACTTATTCAGCCTAGTTCTAGAATAAATGTGTTCTGTTGAACCAATAGCATAACTGAATTATTTTTAGTCCTAAGAGCAAAATTTACAAATTAGTATGGGTATGAAAGAAGTCAGGTTATAGCCCTAGCCGGTTTGGCTCAGCGGTTAGAGCGTCGGCCTGCGGTCCTGAGAGACCCGGGTTCGGTTCCCGCTAAGGGCATGTACCTCGGTTGCAGTTTGTCCCCGGCCCTGGTTGGTCGTGCGGGTGGCAGCCACTCGATGTGTCCCTTTCACATCGATGTTTCTCTCTCTCTCTCTGTTCCCCGCTCTACCTGAACAAAAAAACAAAAACAAAAAAATGTCCTTGGGTGAGGATTAAAAAAAAAAAAAAAAAAGAAGTCAGGTTATACATTAAAACATTATATTAAGAATAACATTTTAGATATCATAACTGTATTCCAGATTTGAATGGTATACATGATCTCTTTTAGGATGTAAAGAAAAGAGATTGAGTGGAGAGTTAGCAGCATTTAAAATAAAACTTGGATGTTGATGATTTTAGCTTTTCATAAGCTTCAATTTTACTGAAAGTTAGCAATAGATTAGGTACGGTGTTTGAACAACATGGGTAAAGAAAGGGAAAAGGCAGACTTTGGGGAAACACAGTGGCTTTAGCTTTATAAACTAGACAACTAGCAACACCTAGTGGTCATTCTTAAACCCAACCCCTCTCTTGATTTCCACCGTTGTTTAGAATTCAGTTACATACCAAGAGTATTGGCAGGTATTTTGAATTAAGTGAGAACAAATAAAATTAAACCAAATCAGGAAATACTATAAATTGAAATATAAGCATTAGTTTTAATGTATATATAATATAAACATCCAAGACGTACTGTTATTTACAACTGTTTATTTGGTTTATGAGCAACAGAATTTAATACATTGAGTAGTAAGCTTTGCTTGTCATAAGAAGGAGAAAGGACTTAATCTTACTAACATTAACCCTAAATGTTAAATTAAGATTTTAAGACTCCTGCTATAGATAATTCTCCATTATTTTAACTGATAGAATTGACAAGGATTTTGAACAATTACTTGCGTTACTCAACTGTTTAAAATCAGGAAATAAGAACAGCAGGCTTCAACCCTTGAATACACATAATCTGACAGAGAAGGCTTATAACATGCGAAGAGATAATAACAGCTAATAATTACTTGGAGGCAAAGGAAAGTTTGCCTGGGCCTTTATATTTTTATGGTCAAACTATAAATGAATGATTCAAGAGTCAAATACAGATTAAAAACTGTCAGGAAAAGGATAATTCCTACTAACATAATTCAAATACTCTAAGAGATTATTTATTTTTAATATTGATAATATAATACATATTTGATACTGAAAATATAAATATAATTGCAATCTAAAAAAGAGAAAGAAATGGAGGGCAGACATCAGTGTTTATAGTGCGCAGTTCACGCCCTAGACACAGGGTGGTGCTTCGTTCGTACCGCCATTGTTCTTTAGCCCTGTGACAATTCTGGAAACAGATGTCTTTGCCACACACCCCTCCCTATCCCATTTTATAAAGAATTAGAGTCACTCCTGTGGTCATGAACTAGGAAGCGACAAAGATGAATCTGGCCCTGGCCAGTTTGACTCAGCGGTTAGAGCGTCGGCCTGCGGTCCAGAGAGACCCCGGTTCGGTTCCCGCTAAGGGCACGTACTTCAGTTGCAGTTCGTCCCTGGCCCTGGTTGGGTTGTGCGGGTGGCAGCCACTGGATGTGTCCCTTCACGTCGATGTTTCTCTCTCTCTCTTCCTCTCTCTCCCTCCCGCTCTATCTGAACAAAAAGTGGAAAAATGTCCTTGGTTGAGGCTAAAAAAAAAACACAAAACAAAGTTAAATCTGAATTCAACTCAATCTGACTCCCAACTTAATGCTCTCAGTGTTTATCAACACCATATACATATACTTAATTTATACTCTGGGCAAAAAGTTTAAAATATGATATCAAATTCTAAAAAAAATTTTTTAATTAATTAATTTATTTTTGTTACAGCTGTTTCTCCTTTTCCCCCACTGATTCCCTCCTCCCCCTACCTCCCTCCCCTGTCCCCAGCTTTGTTGTCCATGTCCACTGTTCATGCATACATGCATATAAGTTCTGTGGTTTATCTCTCCCCCACCACCCCCTCTTCTGAGGATTGTCAGTCTGAAAAATTTTTTTTTGTTTTGTAGGCCCTGTAGCTCCAGGGTCATGCAGTATCTTGAAAGATGCCCCACTGGTCAAGTCTGACTTTTATTCATCAGTGACCAGTCTTTCAGTTCACGTATTTATTCAACTATTATGTTAGGTACCAGTGCAATTAGAGAAAGCTTAAGATACAAATCTAAGCTAAAGGCAGCATAGTAAATTAAATTTAGATAACATTAGAGATCTACTCATTTAAAATCATGTATAATGCACATACAATGTGTCATTGCTGCTATAAAAACAAATGACACAGCCTGAATACCAGGAACTCAGTGAAAATATATGCAAACGAATATTCACAACACTGAAGATACATTATTGTACTACACGTACCAGAGTCATAAAGGACAGATGGGTATGGTGTTGGTGTCTGCTTGAATGAGTCTTGCAAAATCCACGGATGAAATCTTTGAACTCTGCAGTTCATTAACCCAGGTGGGTGAAACTTTGTCAGTTATAAAGAGGAGTCCATGTAAAGGCAAGAAAAAGATGGAGAGAAGCAGAGGGATTTGAGGCATATTTAGAAAGTAATATTTCAAGAGTACAGATCCCTCATGGCCTTTGAATGATGGGAAATATGCATCACCACTAGGCTGCAGGAGGGTCTGCTGCGAAGAGGAAAAACTATTGACTTTTGCAAATTAACTGGTCTAATGGGATATGATCAGTTGTGACTATTTGGAAATTATGTTGGGGGAAAGGAACATTTCAGGTTACACTAGTTAATGTGCAATATTTGTACTTTGTCTGCTTAGTGAATATGCTGTAAAACTGAAACTTGAACTGTGTGGTTGGGGGGTTGACATTATTTAACAAAACTATGGTAACTGCAAATTGTGCATATTGAAACCGTGCAAGGCAAGCACTGCACACACACGTGTGCGCGCGCACTCACACACACACACACACACACACTGAACTTAACGCACCAGGAATGTAAACAACTGGAAATTTTATACATTGATGAATGAAATTAAAAATAGGACAATTTGTGAAACATTATAGTAGTTTCTTAAAAAGTTAAACTGGTGCTCACTTCGACAGCACACTCACTAAAATTGGAACGATACAGAGGAGATTAGCATGGCCCCCTACGCAAGGATGACACGCAAATTCGTGAAGCATTCCATATTTTTCTAAAAAAAACCAAAAAAACCTTAAACATGTATCTACTACACAACCTCAACATTTCATTTTTATTTACCCAAGAGAAATGAAAGCGTTTCTCCATAGAAGGATTTACATACAATTGTTCATAGCTTTATTTGTAATAACCCCCAACTGGGAAAATTCCAAACATCCATCAATAGACAAATCAACATCTTGTGGTATATTTATACAACAAAACACTACTCGGCACAATTGCGAAGAAAAAAGTGATATATGCAATAACATGTATGACTATCAAAATAATTACACTAAATAAAAGAAGGCAGACACAAAAGTATTTACTCCATGATTCCATTTATAAAAACTCTACAAAAACATAAACTAATTTATAGCGATAGAAAGATGGAAAGCATTGTCTAGGAACAGGGAGGAGGAACAAAGGAAAATAAGAGGAGCAAATACAAAGGGACAGAACAAATGTTCTGTCATCATGGATATGTTCATTATGTTGATTGAGGTGATAGTTTTATGGGTATAAATGTGTTTTCAAATGTATCAAATTTTTAATTGTAAATATATATACAGTTCATTGTATGTCAGCTATATCTCAGTAAAGCTATTATAAATATAAATATAAAAATGTATTTTTCTGTATCTTTTTTACTGTCATTAACTTTGCATTTACTTAAGAATTATATTGCTTTATACTTGTTCTTTAGTAATATAAACCAAAATAAATTTGGTTAAACTTTATTTTTTTATTTTTTATCCTCACCCGAGGACATTTTTCCACTTTTTGTTCAAATAGAGTAGGAGGGGGAGAGAGAGAGAGAAACATCAGTGTGAAAGGGACATATCGAGTGGTTGCCACCCACACGACCCAACCAGGGCCGGGGACAAACTGCAACCAAGGTATATGCCCTTAGCGGAAACCGAACCCGGGTCTCTCTGGACTTCAGGCCAACGCTCTAACCGCTGAGCCAAACCGGCCAGGGCAATTTGGTTAAACTCTAAAAATATTTTTCTGAGTTTTCATATCACAAAACATGAATTTTGATTAATTATTGACACATATGTTTAAAGTTCTATATCATTCTCACTGCCTAGTAAATTTCTAAAGACTGTTAGACTTTTACCTTAGTTATGTGGCTAACATATCAGTGTAATTTTATCATTAAAAGTTACTAACATGCCTGTCAGCTGTTAAAATATGGGGCTAATGAATCACAGAAACATTTGAAATTAAAAATTGAACTTTTTTCCCCCAATGAGTAAATTTTCCAATTAATTTAAAAAATAAATTAGAGCCCGGACAGTGTGGTTCAGTGGTTGAGCATCAACCCATGCACCAAGAGATCGCCAGTTAGATTTCCGGTCAGGGCACATGCCCAGGCTGTGGGTCAAATCCCCGATAGGAGGCATGCAGGAGGCAGCCAATCAATGTTCTCTCTCATTGATGTTTCTATCTCTCTCTCCCTCTCCCTTCCTCTCTCTAAAACCAATAAAGAAAAAATTAAAAATAAACTAGAATAATTCAAAATATTGATTACAGTTCTGGGATTATTTATTAATATAAAGCTATATTTTTAAAAATTTTGCTGAAATTCCCATTTAGGATTGGTTTAAACATACTCTGTGGAATAGCAACAAATGGTTGGTATCTAAACAGAATTTATTGACCAACACATTTGAAACCATGTTAAAAAGCAATTAGTAAGTTTTATATCTGCAGAAACTAGGGGAAACCATAAGCCATTTATCCCATCTTCATAACTTATGTTTAAGATTATGTTATGACATAATTGAGTCGAGTTTAATGTGGACAAGTGTATAAATCAGAACAGGAGCATGTAAGTGAGAAGTGATCAAAATGAAATAATTCATTCTTCTCGTTGCTGTTGCCATGTTGTAATGAGATGTTTGTGGTCTTGGCTGCTATTAATATTGAGGCATTCTTGAAAATAAAATTAAGATGAGCAAGTTTACATGTATAGTCTACTTTATACAAATTGAGGAATGGTGATCCCAAAACTATCAAGTCTCGGAAGCAAATAGCCCTTAGTTTGGCAATTTCCACTCAGGATTCTGTAGAGAACTGTTAACCTTCCTGGGAGATTGGAATGTTACAGTATCCTGGTAGTGATGTCAGGCATTTACACTGATTAAGTGCTGCAGGCTGTAACTACTCTTTGTAACTACTTTCACAGAAGAAATGCAAAGAGAAGTTAAGAATGTTGAATACAGGAAGTCAGAAACTGATCTAAAATCTAATCTAGCCTACACAATATAAATTTCAATGGCAAAACCTAAATCAGGACTAATAGTTAAACTATATTCATTGTTAAAAATGGAAATGCATTTATATGAAACAACAGGCACCCTAACAAACAATCTTAACAACACAACATTTTCTGTGTCTGGAATATTTGTCTCAAAACAAAGATCAAGATAATGGATTAGAACAATTACATCTCTATGTGCTGTAAAATTTCATTTTAAGAATAATAACTTTTAAATAATAAAAATATTGTTATTTCATTTTTCATGATGTTTTTTGTTATTTATTTTGTTAATATTCCCTTCCTTAAGTATTGTCTAATATCAAATTGTTTTAGGTAGACATCATTTTTTTATCTTACCATATATATTACCTGATAAAAATAATAAGCCATGCATTTATTATCATATGTTGATTTTTTAACTGAAAACCTCTGAAACTAAAACTGCCACACAAAATCATTTATTTTTTATTATTATGGGAATTATATTTTAAAACAGATAAATTAATTATTATTTTAAGATATAGGAAAATCTATGATTTGGCGATTCCCCAAATTCCCAGGAATAATAATATTCACAAATCCTCAGTATTAATATTTGTAGCAAATTTAAAAACACCCTGTGAGCAGTTTTCTTTATTCCTCACTTTAATAGTTTTTGATTTACAGATTTCTTTAAAATCCACACTTATCTCTAACTTACATGGCTAGGAGTATCAAACAAAATTTACATTGGACCTGTCCATGAAGTTGTTCTAGGATTTTGTAAACCCATGTCAAAAATTTTGCCTTCTCATGACTACTGTGAGAATGAGCTACCAGTATTTTCAGTACATTTCTCTATACACATACTAAAATGAAATAATTAACTTGCTCAAACACAAATCACAATGACAAAAGTTACCAAACATAATATAAAACAAAATATACAGTCTAATTTCCACTCTCATAAGGGAATCTCTTATCTGACAAACTAATGAAGTGAATTTATATTTCAGACTTTCAGAATCTAAATGAGAAATACATATAGTTACCTTTTTACCTTTTAATACTTTTTTTATCCTCACCCGAGGATATTTTTCTATTTATCTTCAGATAGAATGGGAGGGAGAGAGATGGAGAGAAAGGGAGAGAGAGAAACATTGACGTGAGAGGGACACATCGATTGGATGCCTCCCTCACGACTCTGACCCTTGGGGCCTAGGGGCCCTTGGCTGGAATCACACCTGTGACTCATTGGTTGGAGGGCTAACTCTCTACCACTGAGCCAAGCTGGCCAGGGCTAATTTTAATACTTTTAATATCTCAACAAATAATCCAGATAAAGTTATTATCAGGCAATTATTTCCATGGAACAAGAGGAGAGAAATTATATAGCCCATTTCCTCCAATAGCATACTACTTGTCTAATAAGGATATGAGCATTTATAAATATTTTTGCTACTATTTCAATGTACTGATCTCTAACTTAGAAATAAAGAACTCTTTCTGTATCTTTTCATGCACTGGAAGTATTCAACCCAAGTTTAAAACTTCCTCACAATGCACAAAAGGAAAAAAAATGTCAGGATTATGTCTAAAAGAGTATAACTATTACATACATTAAGTACTATGATAATACTGACCAAAAAGTTTAGCTTCTATTTTTTAATACTGCAAAATATAGAATTTGTCATGCAATAAAATTCTTTTCAATAAAAGAATTTGGGGCACTAAAGGAAGATGCTGGAGAAAACATGTCTTATCTTTTACTAGTATGTGGGACAAATAAAAGAAAATATTTTTAAGATGATACCAATGGAAAAATGCATTCTACCAAGAGAGCAGAACTAAAGCATATGCTTAATAATAGTACATATGATAAAGTAAAGTGCCCCCGGGGGATTATAATGTGCATTTTGTTTGAGGAAGTTTTGCTGAATATCTATCTGCCTCTTCTTGTAGTGTTTTCCTTAAGTCATTTTATCTTTTACATATACTTTTATATATTTATATTTTATATATATTAAACATATATGATATTAAAAACATATACATAATTATGAACAAGCATAAGAAATAAACATTATTAGTACATTCAAAGGCCCTTAGGCACACATCCCAATCTCTCCTCAACCTTGACCATAGGGGTCAGTATTATTCAGAAATTTGTGCCTATCATTTCTTTGCTTTATCATATACATGATGTGCACAATTCTTTTTTTATTATTATTGTTGAAAGTATTACAAATGTCCTCCTTTTTTCCCCATTAACCCCCTTCTCCCTGCTCCAATCCAACCCTTCCTTCTCCAATGATGTCTGTGTCCATTGGTTGTGCATATATGCACATAAGTTCTTTGATTTATCTTTTCCCTCCCTCCCACTCCCCATCTCTCTGAGGTTTATTAGTCTGTTCCCTACTTCCAAGACTCTGGATCTATTTTGGTTGACAGCTTATTTTGTTCATGATGTTCCCCAAATAAGTGAGACCATGTGGTACTTGTGTTTCTCTGACTGGCTTATTTCATTAAGCATAATACTCTCCAGGTCACTCCATGTCATTTCAAGGGGTAAGAGATCTTTCTTTCCTATAGCTGCATAGTACCCCATTATGTAAATGTACCACAGCTTTTTTATCCACTCGTCTACTGATGGACACTAGGGTTGTTTTCAGATCTTAGCTATAAGCATAACTATGAACATAGGGGTGCATATATTCTTCCTGACTGGTGTTTTAGGATTCTTAGGATATATTCCAAGAAGTAGG